CAGGGGTATAATTATCCTATAGCTTGTTATCTTGAAATTTATGTACTAGAGATTGTTTCCAAGAGTCCCCTTAACCTCGCCTGGCAAAAGTTCATTGTTATCTCCTGTGCACTCCAGTCTTTAATCTTGAAGTTAGGTGTGCTCTGATCCTTTACAACTTCCTGTAATTTGCGTTTACTGACTATAGGTTTCATATAAGAACATATATTTGCTGCAATGTGTCTGTTCTAAGAAATGGCAATCGAAGTCACCACCAACAGGAGGAGCAGCTCCCTTTTTATTGTGTAACTTCGCTGGAACATGAGAACGTGACTTCCTATACCAAAGAACGTCAAGTCTGTTTGCTTTGATGATTTTCTTCCCTACAGGCCTGTTTGTAATTAACCTGGATCCCTTTCTAAAATAACAATTGGATTGGAGGCTCTCTCTATCAAGGAATAAGGAGGAAAGCTGCCAGAAAGAGTAGCGAGGAGACAAAAGTGAGAGGTGTCCCCAAGGAGAAGAGGATGCAGCCCAAGGAAACGGGGCATGATACCAAAAGAGAAGTGACACGCACACCCCCCAATAAAAAGAGGAGATGTGGCCCCCCGAGAAGAAGGAAGTCCTTCTCAGAGAATTTGGCTTTCCAGAACCTCTCATCCCCTTTCTTAAAACCCTTCCAGGACAACCTGTTTCCAGAGTCTCTGGGTGGTGCAAACAGCACACTCAGCTGCTAACGGAAAGGCTGGAGGTTGGAATTCACCCAGACACCTCAAAAGAAAGAGCTGGCCATCTACTTCCGGGACAAAAATCAGCCAGTGAGAACCCTAGATGATGCACAGTTGACTCTGACATGCATGGGATCACCGCGGAGCAGAATGGACTAGGTGGATGGCAACCGGTTTCCTTAATATCCAATCTGACTTCCTGGGCTAACAAAGCAGGCTCCCCTGAGACTGTCCCTTCCCGCTACTCCTCTCCCAGCCCCATGAGCACACCCACTGCCCACTGCCCACTCCCCAAACCAGGCTATTTCTGGTGTGAAGATGATGCCAATGCTTTCGCTTGCCCGCTTTCTGCTGCTCCTCAACTTCACCCCCACCTCTAAACTGACAATGTCTTAGTCTCCCTTCAAGAACCAGTCTGGGTTGAATAGACTCAGAGAGAAGCAGCTTTGCTCTTGTAAAGGAAACCATTTCAGCTTGTGCATACTGCTACATGGGTCTGTTTTAAAATACCCACAGATTACCAGTCCAACAAATACATTTATTCTTCTGAGATTTTCATCAGAAATGGCAATTTGATTTTCTTGTTGTCATCAATAAAGAAATCATGAGTTTTTAGTGTATTTCCAGTTCATGAGCTTAATCTAAAACTTCCCCACTGTCAAACTGCAGTTGCATTACTATTGGTGTCTCAAGATATGAATCCCTCAGGCTGAAGCCCAAAGCCCAATACCTGCCCACATGAGACGCTTCTCAGGTTGAACCAAGTCAGTGCACGGTGTCATTTTCTAAAGGGGCCATAACATGAAACCTTTGGAGATTAAAAATATATATATTGAGGGTCTCCAAGTTAATGGTTAACTGTGCATCACTTCTGGCTTCAGGGCATGTGACAAATTCTAGCCAGTTAAAAAGAAAGGTGGTTTCGATGTGTTATATTCCGTGGTTCAACGTTTCACTTAAGATAGCCCACTGCCATCGAGTAGGTCTAGATTCCCCTTCTGTCATTACTCTGGAATATCTTTTTGCTGTTGGGAAACTTGATTTAGATTCAAAATAATATTTGGTTCATAAAAAGTATAGAATGACATGTATTATCACATTCTTCTGTTCTCAAAACAAGAGTGCCTAGGTACACCACAGAGTTAAACTTTTCAATTAACTGAAAAGGAGCCCTGGTGTCATCACGATTACAAATTGGACTGCTAACCACTAGGTCAGCAGTTCAAAACCACCAACCGCTCCCCAGGAGACAGATGATGATTTCTACTCCTGTAAAGAGGTACAGTCTCAGAAACTCACAGAGGTGATTCTACCTCGTCTTAGGGGGTCGCTTTGAGTTGGCATGGACTTGATGGCAGTGAGTTTGGGTTTGAGGATATTAACTGAGACGTCAGCAGTTCAAATCCACCCAGGCACACCTGAGAAGAAAGATCAGGTGAGTGTTTCAAAGGGTCACAATCTTGAAGCCCGAGGGAGCACAGTCAAAAACAACTCATTGGCAACCGATTTGGTTTGGGGGCCATTTTTATTATGTGCCAGGTGGAAGAACTGAATAATGGGGAGGAAAGTGGCCAGAGGGGAAACAAGGAAGGGGGACAGAGGTCCCTGGGTGGTGCATCTAGGGTAACAAATATTCCATGGGAGCAAATTACAAAGTTACTCTTTAGGGAAAATGGGAGTGGGAAGAGTGGCAGGTCGGACTCAAACTGCTAAGCCACAGTTCGTGGCTCAGATGGCCACACTGTTTTCCACCAGACTGGGCCGCAGGTACTCATAGGGCATTTCCAGCTTTGCATTCCGGATCTCGATTTCCTTATCCAGCACAGCCAGCTCCTCCCTGAACTTCTTCAACACAGCCTTGGGCTCAGCACCTGAGAAATAGTCCTCCTTTTGCTGGCCCACAGCCACCTGTCAAGGAGAGGAAAGGTCAGCCGAAAGCCCAATACCTCGCAGTTTGGGGTGCCCACACCTCCCACAGTGCACCTCTGCCCAGAGGCCCAGGCACCTGACTCTCACCATCACGGGCTGACGTCTGCCCAGTTGCCAAGTCATGGACATCTGAAGAGAAGCCTGGTGGAAGTTGGGCAGCATCGCCATGATGGTCTCCAGCGTTGCATCCTTGGTGGTGGGTGGGGGCAGCCTCACTGTGCAGGGTGTGTTGGGAACCCAAGTGTACCAGTCCAGCTAAGGAGGGGTTAATGATCTAGAGTCAAAGTCTATCAAGCATGAAAAGACCTTTACAGAGCCTCTTCCCCCACTCCAGGCCTCAAATTCTCAGCTGCTCCCCTATGGTCCATACCTGGCCCAGGTGAACGGAAGAATGCTGGCCAGTGCAGGTGAAGATACACATGGTGATGAAGTGGCAAGCCTGCTCCCGAGTCTGTAAGGATGTGGGAAACCCTGCAAGAGGCCAGGATCGGGTGAAGTGAAAGCTGGGAGACTACGAATAGAAACAGAACTCAGAAATACAAGACAGAGGGGGAACAGGAGGAGCATGTGGAGGGGTCAAACATTCTCAGTAACTATTGTGGGGACTGACAGAAGAAAGTAGGGCAGTGGTTCTCAACTTTCCTAATGCTGAGACACCTTAATACAATTCCTCCTATTGTGGTGACCCCCAACCATAAAATTATTTTCATTGCCACTTCATAACTAATTTTTCTGCTATTATGAATTGGGCAACCCCTGTGAAAAGGTTGTTCAACCCCCAAAGGGGTCACAACCCACAGGTTGAGAACCACTGGAGTAGGTTAAGGGACATGGGGGAGGGCTCTGGGAAACAGCCACTCAAACTTCCAGTGGTGAGTTGGGGCTGGCTCTCCTGACTCAAGAGAGCAGTCTTTGTTCAATGTGCCCGAGTTCAGCAC